GAAGTGTGTTTGAAACCCAGAATGCTGCACAGAGTCCTTGTGCAATGTGTTTATTTTTGCCTTTTGCTCCTTTGATTTGATACTGTTCACTTCCACTTACTCAACAGACTTAATTTTTTAAAAATATGGGATTTGACAGTCAGCAAAAAAAATCCTTAAAACAAGTAGATTCTCCAAATGTCACACTCAATTTAAAAAATGGTACTTATCTGTTAGAATACCATACCCTGAGAATAATCACAATCATGTGATTTTTGAAAGACTCTTTCTCTTGGTGGCTTTGATAGTGAAAAAACATCATCTTCTCACTCTGTCATAAGTACCTAAGAGACAGATACTGAAGGTTGATTTAAACTCTTCACATTTAATTTCATTTCTCATTTTTGTAAACTGTTCTATCTATACATTTGTTAATATTTGTTTTCTTTAAATTCCATGTCTTGTTTTCTTATTTTGGCCGGGATTCATATGAGTCCGCCAATATTGTTTGTGGGACAAATCTATCAGAAGCATTAAGTAGTCATTAAAAAATGTCCACAACTCGTATCAAACGGTTGATTCCCACAACAATCTTCAATTCCAACTTCCTCCCATTGCCAAAACCAAAAAAGTGATAGTGATTGTCAGGGTAATTTTTTGTTATCTCTTCCAGATGTTATATAAAGAATGGCAGATATGCAGCCAAAAGTTTGCTGTAAAATATTGCTAAAATATTGATACCAACTCGAAAATATTGCTAAAATATTGATACCAACTTGAAATTCGCCCAGTTTTGACAAATAAGGATCATTTCTCGGCCTTTGGCTGAGATTCGATCACAACTTAACGACTAGTTATGACCGGCTTCGGCCTGGACTAGCTAAGACAAGCCATGACCAGCTTTGAGTAATCTCTGAACAGCTTGGACATGCTATGACCATTTTTGGACCAGTGGCCCTTGAGTGGAAACGCTTAGGTCTCCCACGTTAAACAACCTTGTGTCACATCCTGACCCCGTGGGAGTCAAGTAAATACCACCAATGTAATGCTAATTAGCAAACCACAAATTGAAACTCTCTTCCCGAAAGACATTTTTGCAATTTTGAGATGGGACACTGTTTGGGTATTTGCCTGAGCCTGTTCTGTTATAAATTCCCTTAAGCACATGTCTTTTCAGCATCTGGGATGCATTGGGGCAGAGACAATAAAAAAAAAAAAGTCACTCACGTATAGGATGTTGAAAGTTAGTATTTATTTAGCATCTTGACATCAGGTGCCTACATTGCTGACACCCAAGTCAATTGCTCCGATTATGTTCATTGTTTAAATGAAATGAAACACCAATAATTATTGTTTTAACTTTTTGAAAATTATTATTAACTAGCTTAAAAGTTGCCATATCAAGCAGCATAGCTTCTGCCTTCATCCCTCTAGGGGACTGTATATGGTGTGGATGTGCACATTGTGCAGCAAGAATCAGTGCAGAAAAATGGTATCAGCATGGAGAATTCAAGCTCTAACACAGTTCATTGCATTCAATTTCACACAAATACCACTGGAAATGTATGAATCAATCTCTTCTCCTTCCCTACTCCAGCTAGGAATTATCTAGTTTTGGTTGGCAATCAGTCCGTAAGAATGAATTCAGAACCAGTTTTCTGTGTGTCTGGAAACTCTAACCTGTCAAAACTTACTACATAAACCACAGCTGTAGTGCCTAGCAGGGTTCAGGCTATGACTCTACACTTAACAGGGGTATGTCTACAAGTAACCATTAGAAAAAACAAATAAAGATAATAAATCCAAATAAATACATGAAGTAATAAACAAATTAAAAACTGCTCCCGCCAAAATAACAGCTAGAATAAACTACAATAATCAACCCCAAAATTGAATAAATACCTTTAATTATCTTCCCAAACCAAAACAAAAATATTAAATAAGTGATATAAACAAATTTTTATACATTAATAAAAACACCGACTAACAAAAATATAAATAAATAAATATATAAGATAAAAAATAAAAATAAATAAAAACAAGCAAAACAATTTAACCCAAATAAATAAATAAATAAATAAACAAATAAACGACTCCCGGTAAAATAACCACAAAAATAGACTACCCACAATGCACCACTGACCCGTATATATAAATAGCCAAGAAAAATAACAGCACTCATGGCCTGACGATTGCATCTAGCATGAAACAGACTGTCGCTCCTAAGTGTTGATTTCAATGTTCAATTTTATATTTACACATGCTCTATCTCTGATATTGAGCACTTTATCCCATAAATATAGCACACCTTAAGACTATATTTCTTCATATATATATATTGTCATATGCCCCAGTCAACGAATGAGTTTATAGGGCAATCATACGCTGACTAGGAGATATATACATTCTCACACCTGTGGAGAGATACAAGCTATCTCTCTCAGATTGTGAGAATGGACAATTGGTAAACAAAAATATTTTTAAGACCACTGTTCAATTGGGATAATCTTTCCCAGGTCCACTTTTTTTTCAATACGAATACTGATCCACAATACAAAGAGGAACTATAAGGCTTAGCGATTTTTGATACAAGAATTTTAATATGTACAAAATATACAAATATCAAAATAAAATAACAGATAAGTATGAGTTAAAACATCCAACGACCAGATCTCAAAACTTACGTTGGGATATCAAAATTCGCCTAACACCAAATGGATTCAACTGAACCCAAACATACAAAAATATAAGTATGAATTACTATGAATTGAATGCAGAAGCCAACATATACACAAAAGAGATGGGATAGGAGTTACAATTATTGTTTTTATATGGAAAGGTGTTTGCAAGAACATAATATTCATGGATGTATGTATATCTTTCTATTACGGGTCCAAAATATAATTACTTATCTTTTATATTCAGTTCTCTTTTTTTTATCATTGTCCTTTCTTTTCTTTTCTTTTCTCGACACAATATCACACACCATCCAGCTGTAACAGAGGTATACACTTTCTTCCTCTCTTTGTTTTTCCTTTTTCTTTAAACGCAGGCTGAATCCTCAGCGTATAAATTTCTCTGCATCTTTAATTTGGGGTTATCGAACAGGAATACTTCTTATATTTCTTGTCCAGAGTTGCCTGAGTTGAACTGGATAAGTTCCATCACTATCAAATGCGTCTTATCTTTCTGTTCATAAACTATCAGCTCTTTGGCTTCAGGTCTTGCCTCTTCAAAGTCAAGATAGCAACTGATTCTCGAGTGAATCTCTGACTATCATGTGTCTTAAGTTTTGGCGCAAATTCCAGCTTACATCCGTCCCCTGTCTAGCTTGTCTAGACATTTGTCACTACGGGTAATTGGGTCAGTCAACCTTTTGACCTGCCTTCCCAAAATGTCATAAGACTCCCACGTGACCTTGCATCTAAGTAGTTTTACTGCCTTTGTTAGGGTAATTCCAATTAAAAGATATATATATAAAGAAACTAGCCCCCCATATTTTATCTGCATGAGACATGCTATTATTCTGAAAAAAAATACATTTTTATATTAGTTTTCCTTTAATATTCATCATCTATATGCTGTGGTCCTTCAAAACACAAGGGATCAGGGCTCTCCCCAACTACCTGACCTTTGGAACTCTCAGTAAAGTTTGTTCTTTTTGCTATCTCTCCCAATCCTCATTCTGTCAACCATTTGCACAAGCTCTCATTAAGTTGGTCATGTGCTGCTTTTCTCTGTTCCACTTGTCTTCTATGAGTGTCAAATTTTCTAAGCCCTCTTTCCTCATGTGCTTAGAAGGAGAAAAACTCAACCTATATTGAACCCTTTTTGTTTAGAAAAAAGATTCCTCAATTCTTCTCTATCACAATACTGCCTCCCCCCAGCAGGGGATGGTGTGGCTGATTGGGGGCCTGTGCAGTGTTTTGCTTTTTTTTCTACCTACATTTATATGCATTTCAAATTAAACTAAGCACAACTGACCATTAGAAAAAAAATTTTCATGGATTTTAATGTCATTCTGGGTTTTTTTTTCATCCAAATCTGTGAATTTATTTTGTTTATGCTAAGCCTAAAAAATACTATATAAAATTCATTATTTTTTATCTATAATTTGTTAAAATTATTCAATTTTTCAAAAAATCTTGGAAAAAACTGCTGCAAAACATTGTTGATTTATTTAAAATGAAATGATCTATTATGACAGGTCTCTAATTTGTATTTAGATACGTTGTATTTTTCTATTTTTGTAATTGGCTTGTTCATCTATATTGTATATGGTCTATTATTGTTCAAAATTAGATTAGAGTAAAATTTGTATTTTATATGAATTCTACCTTATGAAAATTGAGATGTAGTAGGGGGGGGTATCATAGATTCAAGGTGGGGGCCACAATACCAGCCTTGTTGAAACCTACACATAACACTGCATTCTCAGCTGTACCTGTGATAGTTTGTTTTACTTCATTCACGAAAATAAAATTGACAAAAATCTTTACATTGCTTATTCAGTTTAAGCTAAATTTATTCCCATAATGCATAGACAACCATTACAAAATTCCCAAGGACTTCTTCATGTAATGTCTTCTTTGTTTTCCTCTCCATTTTTAACCAACTCCTCCATCACCAGACCTTTTCGCCAGGAATATCTCTTCCTGTTCATCAAATTTTCTTTTGCCAAACTTTTATATCTGGAAAGACTGCTTGAGGAAATATCTTTCTCCAGACCAAACTTCCTGACTCCAAACTAAATCTCTCTTGAAAGAGGGAAAGCCATCATGAGCTGAATGCAAATTTTATCCATATAAATGCCATAAATATGTTCAAGTTAGGGGAAAGGATATTTAATAAATATCAACAACAATAATAACAAATATTCTCTAGCAAAAATGAGGTATCCTCAATAATTCTCAATAGGCTTTCCTGCTAGTTTTTTTTTATTTTTAGACCAACTCAACTCCAAAAGTGTAAAACAGAAGGTAACATTTATATGTAGACACGTTTATGAAAAAAAAATATGCATGATAGCTTATCTTGCCTTGATATCTATTTTAATCCTTTATATCTATCTATCTATCTATCTATCTATCAATCCTATATCTATGTATGCATCTATTTCAATCATCTATCTATCTGTGTCTGTTTGCATTTATCTATTTCAATCATATATCTATCTGTGGTCATTTGCATCTATCTATCTATCTATCTATCTATCTATCTATTTAATCATCTATCTATCTGTGTCTGTTTGCATTTATCTTTCTATCATATCTATCTATCTTTGCATCTCTATCTATCTATCTATCTATCTATCTATCTATCTATCTATCTATCTATCTATCTATCTATTTCAATCCTCTATCTATCTATCTATCTATCTATCTATCTCTATTTACATTTATCTATGTCAATCCTATACCTATGTATGTATCCATTTCAATCATCTTCCATTTGCACCTATCTATCTATCTGTGTCTGTCTGCATTTATCTATTTCAATCCTATATCTATCTATCTATTTATTTCAATTATCTGTGTTTGCATTTATATGTCTATTTCAATCCTATATCTATCTGTATCCATTTGCATCTATCTCTCTATCAATCTGTCTGTCTGTATCTGTCTATCTGTTTTAATCACCTATCTATGTCAGTATGTTCATATCTATCTATCTATCTATCTATCTATCTATCTGGAGTTGTTTCCAGAAGATCATAGTTCATGGGAAGAAGCTGTTCAAATGGAACTTATTTCTTACTGATAGAATACAAAGGCAATGAGGGTGGTTTGACTCAGTGTAAGCTGTGGGGCAGGTCTTAGCTGTGAGTGTTGGTGGTATTAAGAGTGTATTTCATCAGAACATTTTCTACAGAAATAGGGATAGAGTAGCAAGGCTATCAACATTTCATCAGTAGTGTTGTTGGATGAAAAATAATTCATCACCCACAAGTCCATGTAGGCACTTTTAGGCTCTATCAAGACTGTGAGTTTGTAATATAAAAATACTTTGAAAAAATAATTATTTCTGTTCCCAGAGCCTACTGTACAGCTACACAAAAATTTATCCCAAAATATTCTTCCAGTTAGTCCAGTGCCAACTGTTATTAGTTATTTTGCTACTTCACCTGTTAAACATTAAAACATGTTAATTTACAGTCCCTTTTCTAAAATTTACAACTTGTTTTCATTTTGTTCTCTACTCACAGGTTTTGATTCATGATGATATTATTTAGTCTCCTTGTGTTCATTGGTACTAAAAATATTTATAATAACAAGATTAGTTAATGCAGGTGATGAAATAAAAGCATCCATTTAATCACTATGTTTTTTACTATTAGTTAAAAAAATCAATGTTCAACTCCTACTGGGTCTCTGTGCGGAACATGAACTTGTTGTGACCAACACTATTTTCAGACTCCCGAACCGACAGAAGACAACATGGTCCAAACACTGGCACATTCTGGACTATGTCCTAACCAGAGCCAGAGACAGGGGAGACATCCACATCACCCGATCCATGCCAGGAGCAGACGACTGCTGGACAGATCACATGCTCCTGATCTCTAGACTATCTACGAGAACCCTTTGACCACCTAGAAGGACACCGGACAGCGTACCGCACTGATGCTTTGACTGTAGCAATCTCCGCGTCCCACAGCTGGCACAGAATTTTAGAGAAACCTGCGAACGTCACCTTGCAGACCCAGTGGATCAGGCCTCTGTGGAGCACCACTGGACCACCCTAAGAGGCGCCATGGCCCGTGCAGTGAAAGAAACCATCGGCTACTCAAACAAGAAAAACAGGACTGGTTTGATGAGAGTTACAGGTCCATCTCGCCTCTCATTGAAACTAAACGTCAGACACGTCTGACTATGGAGAACCAGCCTACAGCTACCAATAAACGTGCTTATAAACAAGCCATAGCTAACTGCCAAAGAGGCACACGAGAGACCCAGAACACCTGGTGGCAAAGAAAATCAGCAGAAATACAAAGCTACGCTGACCAACAAGACCTGCGCAGCTTTTATACAGCAACCAAGGAAATTTTTTTTGGTTAAAAAAATATCAAATTTCAAATAACAAATAAAACAAAGTCAAGAAAAGCCATCTACAGCAAAAACCAATAATAATTCTTCCTTTCTTTGAATATTGCGGCCACATCCGGTCTGGTGCTCCTAGTATATATTTAGAGATTCTTGATGAAATCCAAAGAAGAATATGCAATGTTATTGGTCCTGACCTAGCAGCTTGGCTTCAGTCATTTACCCACTGCTGTAACATAGCTTCCCTGTGTATTTTCAGTAAATACTTTCATGGTAATTGTTCTGATAAACTTTTCTCTATGAGACCAAGACTTTATAAATTTAAGCTTAGTGCTAGATTGGCAGTTAGGTCCCATTATTTTACAGTTGAAATTACTAGAAATCATAAGTTCTCTACTAATAGTTTCTTTTCATAGTTATAGATTTTTTATGCCTTAATTGATTCATTTTTACATTTAAAACTGTTTTTTACTTAAAATTGAAGCATACTTTATCACCAGATTTTGTGACCAAATTTTGCTTCCATCAGTATGGCTGATGCTAACCTCCAGAAGAATAACTCATTGTGCCTTCTTGGACTCACATTTTGCACTGATATGAATTGAAATGATTATATTGAACCAGTTGCTAAGTCTGCAGTTAGGAAAGTCAGTTCACCATATCATGCTAGATAATTTTTCTTGACAGAATGTCTTGTACCTTTATGCTTCAACTACACAAATTTAAGTGCAGTACTAGATTAGCAGTTAGGTCTCATCATTTTAATTTTGAAATTGCTAGATATAACCATAGGTTCTATTCTGATAACTTCTTTTTTCACACTTCTCGCCTGTGGCACTCCCTTCTGGATTCTTACTTTCATGTCAGTTATGATCTTCAAAAGTGTAAATACAATGTCAGTCATCATTTTCTGTTTCTTTGAAGCCTGTTTTTTTTTATTGTCCTTGGATGTGTAGGTGGTGTAATGGATAGCAGCTCAGAATTATAAATCAGAGAGCTGGGTTCAATTTCCAGTTGGGTTCACTTACACACAAATAATATTAGAAAAGGCATGAATCCATCTCCTCTCCTAGCTATGGGTTAAATAGTCAGACTTGTATCTGGAAACATTATTGTTATTCTAAAAAATGTGTAATGCAATATTCCCTGAAAAAAAAAAAGATGAATTATTCTTGCAACCCCAAATATATTTTAAATAACCCACAAAGGGTTGCTAAGCTGTAAAAAACAAATCACTCAGTCAATCAATCTTTTCTCCTCAATAACATTTTCTGAGTTTCTTTCACTCACCCCTTGCATCTTAGTGGCTTTATCACCTTGTTTGGGGTGAAATGATAAAAAAGAAACATCTTCATGGCCAAGTTTTCTCACCAATGTAGAATATAAAAAAATTCAAGATTTTCTTTCAGTTAAGAAAAGCGTATAAAATTCTATATTTTTATTTTCCAAAATTCATTTAAAAACATCTATTTTTGTGTATATATTGTCCTCTGCTGAATTTTGATCTAAAATTTTCACTGTATAATGTTCACTGTAATATTCACAACTTAAGTGACTTGATAAGTGTTTAAAAATTAATGTGTTGTGTAAAATAAATGTTTTTTCATTAGACTACAAATTTATTGATTTCCCTATATAATAACCTTCTTGTCTCTCTTGAGTAAGCTAAATCGAATTTAATAAGTCTAATTGAAAAAGGTCCTAAATATTCTTCCTCATCTCAACCAGCTAAAATGTTGCTAGTTACGAAGCAAAATGAAGCTTCAATTTTACTTCGCCTTACCAGGCCAAACTCAAATAATTATTTGAGACCAATTTTATCAGTACACTGTTAAAGTACTTCTTGAAAAATGATCTTTCTGTAAACCTTCAGATTTTAATTAATAGTTCAATTACCAGTTCTTCTATCCATCTATGCCCTGAAGTAGACCCTGTCCCAAAACCATTTCAAGTGACTTAACCAAATCATTCAAATTTAGCATTTACTCTGTTTGCAGTGATATTGCCTACCTATATACAGTTAAGTTTTTTTAAATAATTTTTTAAAAAAATACAAGGATGCTCAAAGTAGGAAAGCAAAACTTGCAAAATTGCTGCAACCTTCAAAACACACTTATTATGCATAAATGATAATGGTATATTAGCCCTTTCCTCATAAGGAAACATTTAGCATTAATTGATTACAAAATATATTTTCTACTTTCCATAATATTTTTCATTAGTAACTTAGAAGGCACAAATGAAATCCATTTTGTCTTTCTTTTCCACATTTTTTTCATCTCATGTCCTTTCAGAATGCAGAAGATTATGGCTCTCCACAATTTCCTTTTCTTTTCCAGTTTCTCATTGCCTTTACCATGGTTTTGAATTTAGAGTAGTCTTTCTCTTATGCTGGTAATAGTAACAGTAATAGCAATATTAGCTGTTTCCTTATAAGACTACATTCAATATTCATTAACTGAACAGGAAATGCTACTTTCAGTTAAAATTTTATAAAATCTTTCTCTTAAAAACTTTTTCAGGAAAATAGGTTTCTCAAGTCCAGTAGCAGTTATCGCTCTTTTCAGTATGGATAGAGGCTACATTCCTAACCTCTTCAAGAAAATAGGTTTCTCAAGTCCAGTGGCTGTTATAGCTCTTTCCATTATAGATGGGGGCTACATTCCTCATCTTTTCAGGAAAATAGGTTTCTCAAGTCCAGTGGCTGTTATAGCTCTTTCCATTATAGATGGGGGCTACATTCCTCATCTTTTCAGGAAAATAGGTTTCTCAAGTCCAGTAGCTGTTATCACACTTTCCAGTATAGATGTAGGCTACCTTCCTAACCTTTTCAGGTAAATAGGTTTCTCAAGCCCAGGAGCTGTTATCACTCTTTCTAGTATAGATGGAGGCTATCGTCATAACCTTTTCAGGAAAATAGGTTTCTCTAGTTCAGTAGCTGTTATCACTCTTTCCACTATAGATGGAGGCTATCTTCTTAACCTTTTCAGGAAAATGGGTTTCTTAGCTTGAGTAGCTGTTATCACTCTTTCCAGTATAGACAGAGTTTACCTTCATAACATTTTCAGGAATAGGTTTCTCAAGTCCAGTAGCTGTTATCGCTCATTCCAGTATTGATGTAGGCTACATTCCTAACCTAAATTAAAGTAAATAGGTTCCTCAAGTCCAATAGTTGTAATCGCTCTTTCCAGTATAGATAGAGACTGAATGAATGAATGAACTTGCAGAAAAATTGGAGTAAAAAATAGAACAAAAAACAAACATATCTGGTAAGTCTTTGAAGCATTTACATCTTAATATAGTGACTCTTCTTCTTCTCAATAACAGCCAGCAATGTATGATCCATTGTTTTTCTTAATCTTTTACTTCAGTGGGTTCAATTTCTGACATGGTTGTTTTAATTGCTTCCCATAAGTTTGCTTTGTTTGTCATACTGTTTGCCACCTTCACATAATTTCATCTTCACAATTGACCATAAATTTTTAATTGGACTCAGATTTGGACTTGGTGGCATTTCCATTATCTTCTCATCTGTAAACCTTTTATACTAAAAAAATTCATGGATAACCTTAGATACATGAGAAAGAGCAATGTTGTGCATAAATACACACTTCACTGTGAAGCTGGGTCTTGTACCATTCAAAGAAAGTCTTGACCATGAAATTGCAATAGTT